AATATGCTGACTCTGTAAACCGCTTAGAGAGGGTTGAAAGCCCTATGAAGCGGTATGTAAGTCTAACTGCTATTGCTATATTCTCCATCTCTGTCCCTCTCTTCCTCCTTTTCTCTTTTTCCCTCTCTCCTTCTTTCTCTTTTTCTGTCTCCCCCCTTCTCCCTCCTTTCCTCTCTTTCCCTCTCTCCTTTTCTCCATCTCTCTCCCTCTCTTCCTCCTTTTCTCTTTTCCCCTCTCTCCTTCTTTCTCCTTTTCTCCATCTCCCTCCTTCCCTCTCTCTCCCTCTCTTCCCCCTCCTCTCTTCCTCTCCCTCTCCCTCTCTTCATCTGTCTTTCCTCTTTCCCTCTATCCCTCTCTCCTTCTCTCTTCCTCCCTCCCTTCCTCTCACTCTTTCCTTCCTTCCCTCTCTCCACCTGTCTCCCTCTTCCCGTCTCCCTATCTCCTTCTCTCTCTCCCCCCCCCTCTCTCTGTACAATGGGATGTAGAGGTAGGACCAGAAATAACTTTGCTAATTGACAGAGGGTGTTCAGGGGAGGAGGGGCTTGACTGACAGGTCTGAGGTCTCCCAGGGACGGGGGCAGAAGGACTTCTTGGAAGTCATCCTCCCAGTCCATTAACTTCAGACTGCCTTGACCCCTGATCAAAGACATTCCCCACGCTGGCTGGGGAATTCTGGGAGTTGAAGTCCAACCCTCTTCAAGTTGCCAAAGGTTGAGAAACAGGCTCCACCCAAGGTCACGTGAGGACTACCACCTTCTGGGATGAGGAGGGGTCTCCCGGATTGTACTGGGTGGACCTGTTGACAGGAGGGTCTTCTCAGTCTTATATGAGGTGTTTTTTTTTTAGCAGGATGTGTCATTTCAGGTCCAGCAAAGTGACATATTCAAGCAGAATTGGTACAACCCCCCCCCCACACACACTCTCGTAACTCTTTTGTGCCTCTGCCCCCAGCCTCACCTCTCCTAGCCCTATCAACAGCGCCAAGAGTGAATCGGGCAGCACCCGCTCCGAGGAGAAAGGAGGCTTTGACTTTGGCCACGAAGAAGAAGATGGAGAAGAAAAAGCAGGAACAAGGACAGGTAAGGGAAAGGATCTCCCGACCTAGGAATTTGAGACTTACATCTGTCCCGTCCATCCATATCTATCTATCTATCTATCTATCTATCTATCTATCTATCTATCTATCTATCTATCTATCTATCTATCTATCTATCTATCTATCATCTATCTATCATCCTGTCTGTCTGTCAGTCTCTCTCTGTCTAGCTATCTATCTATCTACCGTGTTTCCATGCAAATAAGACAGGGTCTTATTTTCTTTTGACCCCCGAAATAAGCGCTTGGCCGGGACGTCTTATTATTTTTGAGGTGCAGGAGGCGGTGAGTGTGGTCACCTCATGGCTGCTGCTGTGTTGCAATATTTTCAGGGGAGATCTTATTTTAGCACATGCCCTCAAAAGCCACGATTGGGCTTATTATCCGGGGAGGTCTTGTTTTCAGGGAAACAGGGTATGTCTTTATCTATCTATCCATCCATCCATCCACCCATCCATCCTCTATATCTCTGCCCATCTCCAATATGGGTGGGTGGTTACTAACAGTCAGAGAAACAATATAAAAAACAAACAAACAAAAAAGCAGATAGAAAATCATATAAACACTCATCAGCCCCTCCGTCCCTCCCGATGACTTTTCCATCGTGTTTCCTTCTGCTGTTCCTTGCTTTGGGTGAGAATGAGGTCTGGCTGAATGAGGCAATCCGTCGAAAAACGCTCAGCCTTCTTTGAAAGGGCTCCTGCCTTGAACCTGGCAGCTTTTCTTTTAAAAACAGATCCCGTCTGTAGCAAGATCATTTATTGGAACTGGATCTGAAGGCTTCTCCAACACATAAGAGAGGCCTGCTGTGGAACAGATGTGTCCTCCCCCCCCCCCCCAAAAAAAAAAAAAAAAACAGAAAAGGAATATTCAGAGTGATGGTTTCTACTTAAAATATATATTTAATAAGGATCATGCAAATTATAGCAATAGCAATAGCAATAGCAGTTAGACTTATATACCGCTTCATAGGGCTTTCAGCCCTCTCTAAGTGGTTTTCAGAGTCAGCATATCGCCCCCAATAACAATCCGGGTCCTCATTTTACCCACCTCGGAAGGATGGAAGGCTGAGTCAACCCTGAGCCAGGAGATTAGAACCGCTGAACTGCAGATAGCAGTCAGCTGAAGTGGCTGCAGTACTGCACTCTAACCACTGCGCCACCTCGGCTCTTCATGTATCAGGTGATAAAGCCAGGCCAGGTTAGTCTGGTGCAGGGCTGAAATGCTCTGAAGTCGGCTATCGCTTCGCTTTGTGTGTGTGCAAAGGTAAGTAGAACAACAAAGCGGCGGAGACAGCTGTGCCGCGTGAGTTAGATTCACTAGAAAGCAGGATTTCCTGCTTTCTAGCGAATATAAATCCTGCAGCACAGCTGATTGTTGCACAGCTGATCGTTGAAACTTTTTTAAAACTTTTTTTTAGCATGTTTTAACTACCTGTACACCCAAACTGGTAGTTAAAAATTGCTTTAAAAAGTTTTTTTTAAAGTTCCGACGATCAGCTGTGCGACAGTTGTGCCGCGTGATTTCAAGCGAATATAAATCGCACGGCACACCTGACTGTCATCCAGCTGATCGTGGGAACTTTTTTTTAGCATATGTTTACTACCTATTTGCCCGAACCATTAGTAAAAAAAATGCTAAAAAAAAAAAATTAAAAAGAAAAGTTCCAACGATCAGCTGTTCAACGATCAGCTGTGCCACGTGATGGTGGGAACTTTCCCTCTCCCTCTCTCTCTCTCTCCCCGCTTTCCTGTTCTTCCCCTTCCTCCCCAGAACCCTGGAGCCAGGCTTTCCCGGAGTTCGACCACAGATACGTTGTTTCCCACGTGGAAGAAAATGGTGGTCGGCTGCCCGTTGAGTGGTCTCCAAAGTGTCCTGCCCCGAGTCTGGAGACTTCGTGGGAGGAGCATCTCCTGGAACAGCAGGATCACTTGGAGAAAGAAATGGAAGAAGCCAAAAGGATGATCTCTGGATTGCAGGTCTGTCTGTCCGTCCTTCCTTTCTTTCTCCCTCCCTCCCTCCTTCCCACATGCTTTTCTTTCTTCCTTTCCCTTCCTTCCTTCTTTTCTTCCTTCCTTCCTCCATCCCTCCTTCCCACCTGCTTTTCTTTCTTCCTTTCCTTCCCCCCTCCCTCCTTCCCACCTGCTTTCCTTTCTTTCTTCCTTTCCTTCCTTCCTTCCTTCTTCCCTCCTTCCCATCTGCTTTTCTTTCTTCCTTTCCTTTCCTTTCCTCCCTCCCTCCCTCCCTCCCTCCCATCCACTTTTCTCTTCCTTCCTTTCTTTCCTCCCTCCTTCCTTCCTTCTTTCCTCCCTTCCACCCCTTTTCTTTCTTCCTTCCCTTCCTCCCTCCCTCCTTCCCCCCGCTTTCCTTTCTTTCTTCCTTTCCTTCCTTCCTTCCTTCCTTCCTTCCTTCCTTCCTTCCTTCCTTCCTTCCTTCCTCCCTCATACCCACTTTTCTTCCTTCCTTTCCTTCCTTCCTCCATCCCTCTTTTCCTCCCTCTCTCCCTCTTTTATTTCCTCCCTCCCTCCCTCCCAAATCTCAGACTTGGTGCCAGAGGCTCATTGCTTGCAGGGCTTCTGTCTGTCGCTTCCCTCCCTCCGCTTTGATTCTGCTGAATTTCTTCAGAGGGCGGAATCCCCTTTTATCTCTCGGGGTCTCCCGGAAGGGGAAGGTCGGGTCCCTCCTGCGGGGTTTCCACGGTGCTGCCCGGCTGAGCATGTCGCTCTCTGCCCTCCTTGTCGTCCTGCCAGGCGCTGCTGCTGAACGGATCCCTCCCCGAGGACGAGCAGGAACGGTCGCTGGTCCTCTGTGAGCAGGAAGCCTGTCCGGAAGAGCAGCTGGTGAGCCTTTTCTCCCGGCCAGCCGGCCGGCCCTCCTTCCCCCTAAGTGGACGGGGAGGGAGGGAGAGACGCCGGGAAATAACGGCTCCCTTCGGCCTGTAGGTCATCATCCGGAGCCGCCTGGATCAAAGTCTAGAGGAGAACCAGGAGTTGAAGGTGAGACGCAGCACCTGGCGATAGCGATAACAACAGCCCTTAGACTTATATACCGCTTCACAGTCCTTTTACAGCCCCTTCTAGGCGGTTTACAGAGTCAGCCTGTTGCGCCAACAGTCTGGGATCTCATTTTACCCACCTCGGAAGGATGGAAGGCTGAGTCAACCTCGAGCTGGTCAGGATCGAACTGCTGACAGGGAGCAGAGTTAGCCTGCAATACTGCATTCTAGAAGGAAGGAAGGAAGGAAGGAAGGAAGGAAGGAAGGAAGGAAGGAAGGAAGGAAGGAAGGAAGGAATAGCAATAGTAGTTAGAGTTATATACCACTTTATAGTGCTTTACAGCCCTCCCTAAGTGGTTTACAAAGTCAGCCTCTTTCCCCCAACAATCTGGGTCCCCATTTTACCCACCTCGGAAGGACGGAAGGCTGAGTCAAGCTTGACCCTGGTGGCATTTCTTCATAANAAGAAGGAAAGAGAGAGGGAGGAAAGAAAGAAGGAAAGAGAGAGGGAGGAAAGAAAGAAGAAATGGAAGCCTATGGAGATTCCTAGTCGCCCAGTCGTGATTGTCCCAGAGGCAATTGAGAAAGAGAAGAGGGAGGGAAGGAAGGAAGGAAGGAAGGAAGGAAGGAAGGAAGGAAGGAAGGAAGGAAGGAAGGAAGGAGAGAGAGAGAGAGGGAGGAAAGAAGGAAGAAACAAGTCCATGGAGATTCTCAATCATCCAGGTCCTGGTTGTCCCAAAGGTGCTTTTTCAAGAGGCAACTGGACTTTCTGTTTTTTCTTTGAAGCCGTTTCTCTTCTCATCCAAGAAGCTTCTTCAGCTCTGACTGGACGGTGGGGAAGGATTTCAAAGGACGCAAATGACCAGCTGTCTGCAACGGCTATAAATCCTTCCGTTCCCCATTATTCAACCGGAGTTGAAGAAGCTCCTTGGAGGAGAAGCGAAATACCTTCAAAATAAGGAACCGGAAAGTCCATTTGCCTCCTGAAGAAGGCCTGGAAGACGGGGAATTTCTATAGACTTTTTAGCTACACAATTTGGGATGAACCCATTTTGAAGGGTGTGGGAGAAAGAATGGATTTCCAGAGGAGGGAAAATTGCAGACTACAGGAACCATTTGCACCACTCAGGTGACCCTGAGGACACAGATAAGCCTCCAAGTGGCCTCAGGGACCCTCTGAAAGGCTGCAAATGACCAGCTGTCCACAAGGAGTATCAATCCTTCTGTTCCACACCATCCAGTCAGAGCTGAAGAAGCTTCTTGGAGGAGAAGCGAAAAGAAAAAACAAGAAAGTCCAAGTTGCCTCTTGGGAAAAAAAAATCACCTCTGGGACTCTTGTTCCACCGTGACGACGCTCCCCCCCCCACTCTCCCCCAAACACCTGGAGGTCTGGCCAGCGAAGGACCCCCAAGTGCAGCCCCTTTGTGCTAAGCTCCAGCCCAGACCCAGCCTTCTCCCCGGGCTGATGGCTCCCACCCACCCACCCTTCCTCCCTCCCTCTTCCAGAAAGAGCTGAGCCAAAAGGAACGACTCCTGCACCAGCACCAGGCCAAGATGGAGGAGATGCTCCACCAGCTCTCCGAGGCCGGGTATCAACAGGTAAGGGGCTTCCCCCCCCTTCTCCATCTCCCCCTGCCCTCCCTCCAGCTGTTTTTAATGCCCCTGCAAGCCACCCAGAGTCCCTCTGGATAGTGAGGCCAGCGGCCTGTAAGTGTTAATAGATTTAGATTTAGATTTATTTTATTTGTATGCCACCCTTTTCCGGGAGGGACTCAGGGCGGCGAACAACTCAA